TATTTCTAACTCTTTTCTGAATTCATTCAGTTTATCCCTATCTTCCTTCAGTTCTTTGATTTCTTTTTTTCTGTGTTCTTTAAATTCATTGAATTCTTTTATCATGTTTATAATTGTTCTTTTGAGTTCCATGCCCTGCATTATCTCTAGGGGGTTCTCATCATACTCTTCTAGAGGACTATTGGTATTCAGTGGGAATATATTATTTTGGTTTTTCATGTTATTATTTTTTCTCTGTGACTTTGACATATGAATTTCTTTTGTAGTTTCTGATGCTTGTGTGAGACTCAGGCCTTCAGTGAGACTCAAGCCTTCAATCTTAGGTCTGCTTCTTTTTGTGAACTTTATGTGTCTTTGTGGTTTACTTTTTGGGCATGAAAAGCTGGCTCCTCTAAGCTTCCAGTTCTCTCTTTTGGAGTGGCCAGATTGCTTTTGTCTTCAGGAGTTCCCACAGAGGCCCAAGTCAGATGAGAATCTGTTGCTTTCGGGCTTTGTAGTAAGGTCTGGATCCCTCCAGGAAAGATGTTGTCCTCAGGAATTTGCGGGTTGGAACTGCCTGGGAGCATGGCCCAGGAAAAATGCTGGTCTAGGGCAGCTGGTGGCTGTGCCACCCAGATATGCAAAGGAAGATGGGGGTGGGAAGCAGCCCCAAGGGCTCCTGGGGACTGCACTGAGGAGCTGGGTTTGTCTGGATGCAAAGGATCAGGAAGAGGAAAGGTCAGCCCTGGCGTCCAGGAAAGAGGTTGGAGGGTCGTGCAGGCCCTGGAAAGAGAGGCCTGTGGGTCAGAGCATAATTGTTCTTTTAAATTCAGTGTCCTGGGTTATCCCTAGGGGGTTCTCCTTGTAGAACTCTTCTACAGTTTTGGTAGAGTTTGGTTGGGGACAGTGTTTTGGCTTTCCATTTTATTATTCTTTCATTGTGATTTTGTCGTGTGAATTTCTTTTGTTGTTTATGATTCTGATATGAGAATTAAGTTGAAGTATGCTTCTGCTTGTATTATCAGAGTGACTAGATTCTTTCTTTATTGGTTATGTAATGAACAGCATTCAGGTTCTCTAAGGTTTAATTTGGAGGGAATTGATGGCTTCAGATCAGCTATTCAGGAGCTCCCACAGAATGTTCCAGTCAGGTACACTCAGGCTTCCTCCACCACGTGAGGGAGGCCAGAGTGAGGCCAGAACCCAGCACTCTCTGTTGATCTGCTAAGATCAGAGCTGCTACACAGATGGAGGTCAAAACACACCCTCTCAGGCTGTCTGCTAGGATCTCAGCCTTAGCCTACCAAAGCCAGATCTTCCCTGGGGCCTTGGGAGGGGTCTCACGATTTCCCAGGTAGGGTGATGGGTATGGTACAATTAGGGGACACTCACCACCATGTGGAGGCAGGATCTTGGGGCTCTCAGGCAGTCCCCTGTGTTCTCAGGCCCTCTGCCAGAGGGAAGTCAGAGGGAGGCCAGAACTCAGCACTCTTTGGCAGTCTGGTGAGATCAGAGCCCTTATACCAATGGAGGTTGAGACCCACCCTCTCAGGCTGTCCGCTAGGATCTCCCATGTTTATTTTTTATGTTATAAAAATAACTATTCTTAGCCCGGTGTGGTGGTGCACACCTTTAATACCAGCACTCAGGAGGCAGAGGCAGGTGGATCTCTGTGAGTTCAAGGCCAGCCTGGCCTACATAGTGAGTTCCAACAGGGGCAGCTGGGGCTACAGAGAGACCGTGTCTCAAAAAGACCAAAAAAAAAAAAACCTATTCCTATAGAAGAGTGGTAAAATGATTGTAATCAGCACAATCTGGTGTTCAGGAAGGTCTTCAAAGCATGATCCTTTGTCATACTTCTTATTCATCAAAGGAGAAATTAGTTTTCATATCTCAGCTGTGCAAGGTAAAGTTGTAACTAGAGAGAGTATTGTGCCCATTAGTGATAAGAGTTCTGGGATGCATTTGTGGGGGTTGGGGGAAGCTCTTGGATGCTAAGTAGGGACTTTTTGGATGCTCTGCAGGGACTCTGGCATGTCCTGTGGAAGTTCTGAGATGCTCTCTGAGGGTTTGGGGATATCCTGTGGGGGTACTGGGATGGCCTGTGACAGCTGTGGGATGCTCTGGGAGACTCTGGGATGTTCTATAGGGGCTCTGGGTTACTCTGTGTGGGCTCTGGAATGTCCTTTGGGGAATCTGGAATGCTCCTGGGGGCTCTGGGACTCTGGGATGCTCTCTGGGGTTTTCGGATGTTCAGTAGGGGCTCTGGGATGATCTTTGGGAGCTTTGGGATACTTTATGTGAGCTCTTGGTTTTTATTTTTATTGTGGGGGCTTTGGGATGCTGTTCTGGCTTTAAGATGCTCTGGGATTCTCTGTAGGGGGGCTATGGGGTGCTCAGGGATGTTCTGTAGGAGCTCTGGGATGCTCTGTGGGGGCTTTGGATGCCCTATAGGCCCTCTTAGGCATCTGTGGGGACTGCAGAATGCTCCATGGAAGCTCTGGGATACTCTACTGGAGCACTGGTAAGCGCTGGGATTTTCTATGGGGCACTGGGGTGCTCTGTGGGGGCTCTGGGGTGCCTTGTTGGGGATTTGGGTTGCCCTGTGGGGCCTCTTGGATGCTCTGCAGGGGCTCTGGGATGCTCTGTTTGGGCACAGGGATGCCCTGTGGAGGCTCTGGTATGCTATGCTATGCTGTGTGAAGGCTCTGGAATGTTCTCTGGGGGTCTTGGATGTTCTGTAGGGGCTCTGGGATCTCTGTGTGGTTTCTGGAATACTATGTAGAGGCCCTGGAATATACTGTGGGGGCTCTGGAATGCTCTGAAGGGCTCTGGGAGGTTCTATAGGAGCTCTGGGTTGCTCTGTGAGTACTCTGGAATGTCCTATGGGGATTCTGGGATGTTCTGTGGGAGCTCTGAGATGCTCTATGGAGGCTCTGAGATGCTCTATGGAGGCTCTGGAATGCTCTATGGAGGCTCTGGGATGCTCTGTGGGTGCTCTTGGATGTTCTATGCCACTTTTGAGTATTCTATGTCAGCTCTGTGATACTCTGTTTTAGGATGCTCTGTGGCAGCTCCAGGATGGTTTGTCGAGGCTTCAGAATGCTCCATGTGGGTGTTGTGATATTCTATGTGGGATCTGGAATCCTCTGTGGGGGTTCTGGCATGCTCTATGGGGGTTCTGTGATATTCTGTGGGGGCTCTAGAAGTCCCTGTGGAGGCTCTGGGATGCCTGTCATGGCTCTGGGATGACCTTTAGATGCTCCAGGATGTTCTGTGAGAGCTCTGAGATGCTATATATAGGCTCTGGGGTCCTCTGTGGGAGCTCTGGGATGTGTAAGGGCTGTGTGCTGTGTGGGGAGGGAGGGCCCTGGGATGCCCTATGGGGCCTGTATGTTTTATTCATCAGCTCAGGAGGCCAAGCCACCCAGAAAACCCTCATGGAGCACAGAGCTAGCCTTCATGGAGTACCTCCCAGGAAGAACAAAGTTGCAGATTTGAAAGGAGGATTCAGGAGCTCACAACCAACCAGGATAGCCTATGGACCAAGCTGCAGAAGATGAGGCAAGACCTACAGGTACAAAATGTGGGAGTCACTGGCCTTCTAGACTGCCTCAAAGTCTGTGCTCAAGACTCCTCTGCCCCTGCCAAGGGAGAACTGCAGCCCAAAGTTCCACAGGTTACTGGGATCAGCCCCTTCTCTTGCACTCTGATGTATGACACTATTCCTGGAGAGACATGAACAAACATCTTCTCACCCCAGATATAGAACAAGGACAGACCAAAGTAAGGATATCACCAAAGTCCCACTTAGGGAACCAATGAGTTTTACCTGGGTTACTCAGAACAGAAATAACTCAAAGAGAGCTGTATCACCAAAAGCCCACCCCATCTTGGCCATGGCTCATGAAAACTAGAAACCTGGAGTTCATTGAACAACTTGCAGGCAGCTCAGCAAGTTAGAGGTCTCCTCCAGCAGCTCTCCTGATCTCTGCTGCTTCTTCCCGGCGGCAGCATGGTTGATCTACCTCTCCCAGCCTGCTCCACTGGTCTGAGTGTTTCTCAGCCATTGTTCTCAGAGATCTTTACTGCCTGTGCAGACTCAGGGAAGCAAGTACCTAGTGTACCTATGTTGCGGGTTCTCCTCAGGCCAGCTGTGAAGACCCTAACCTGGATCGGGTCCCCTGGTGATTGGGGCGGGGCAAGACACACAGACCCCGGAAGGGGTAGAAGCAAGCATTAGGCCAGGTGCTGCAGGCTCATTTGATGAAGGAGGGGGCAGGCCTTATATTTCCCTTTTCTCTGCCCCCAAGTCTTTTAGTCAGCGAATCGTATTCTGATTGGTCCACGCCATGCAGTCTGTCAGCAGTCACTGGGCTCCCGAGCAGGGTAGGGAGGCGGGGGCTCCTTTTGGCGGGCTATTTGCCGACCAAGAAGTGAAGTGAATTCTCGCTGAAGGGTCCGTGCCATCTTTGGAGGCCTCCCGCTACATACCTGGTCAGTTTCAGGGACTTTCTGAAGCCTTTAAGTTGTTTACTTCCTGAAGAGTTTCCTTGCAGGATAGAATGTTTCACATTCCTCTAGAACATCCCCTGTCTTAAATGACTTCCTTCTAATATGCAAAGCTTTATCTTGGAGGAAATTGTTAGACAATACCCTCTTCTCCCTATCCCCTAACCTACTCCAGCATCCAACCTCCACACTGAATGCTCTCCAGACAATAGCAGTAGTAGCTTGTAGATACAGGAGGGCAAATCGCTTCAGTGTTGCATTGGTTCTTGAGCCTTTTGGTCTCAGGATCCCTGAAACTCTGAAAATATCTTGAAAACCCCTGGAAGCCTTTGTCTCTGTGGACTGTATCCATTACTAGTTACCCTTATCAGTATTAAAACTGAGAAGTGGTTTAAAATGTATTCATGGGGGCTGGAGAGATGGTTCAGTGATTAAGGAAACTGACTGCTCTTATAGAGGACCTGGATTCAGTTCCCAGCACCCACATGGCAGATAACAACAATCTATAACTTTGCATCTTTTGACTCCACAGGCATTGCATGACACAAATGCAATTATACACATGCAGGCAATACACTCATACATATAAAATTAAAAATAATAAATAAGGGGCTGGAGAGATGGCTCAGCAGTTAAGAACACTGATTGTTCTTGCAGAAGACTGGGTTCAAATCCCAGCACCCACATGGCAGCTAACAACTGTCCGTAACTCCCATTCCAGGGGATTTGTCAGCCTCTTCTATCCTCCACAGGCATTGTATGACACGAGTGCACTTACCTACATGCAGGCAATACACACATACACATAAAA